AGCTAAAAAGTATGGCCAAGTTTAAATTTATAGAATGCTACTACCACTTCTAACTAAAACATAGCAAGAAGAGTAGGGATCATCCTAAGGGAAATGAGTCATGCTTTGGAATCAATTATAGAGTAGTAGGTCGACTAATCAAAGATGGGGTGATTTGATTAAACTAGAGTTCAATTAAAACATGCAATTGACAATCTAGAAATTAAAGGAAAAATAAATGAGAGAAGGGACTTAGGGCTTAGAGTTCACCACTAAGCTTCACTTCACTTGATACTAGCAATTGTAAATTAATGGAGACACTTAAGTTGTAAAATGTGTGTGTGTGTGTGTGTGTGTGTGTGTGTCACTAATTGAAAACTAAGCATGGACGACAAATAAGCATAGACTGTCTAGTCAATCTAGTGTGTAACACAAACTATCAAATGAGACCAATAACCATTCAATTTAACCACAATTAGAACACACATAATATTCTAGAGAAATGTACTCCTTGCATTCATAAGTATGGAACATCAAGAAACAAGAATAGATTCTCCACCTATCTAAAAATTTAAAGCAATTACACTACATCTAGGCTAGAGACATGAAAATTAAACTAATTAAACTAAAGGTGTGGTACAATCCATCAAAAAACAAGTGTAAACCATCAAATAAATCACAAGGGTACTCAATTAAGCACTATGTTTTGACCATCACTAAATTAACAACATCAATATACATAGACATGCATTAATTCCATTAAATCTAAAGAAAAGCACATGAACATCCATTCTAGCATATATAGACATATGGATAGAAATAAATGATCAATTGAAAGCATTAATCCATACACGTCAAGTAGAAACCACAAGATATATATTTTTTCAAGATTAAAACATTTATTACAACTAAAATCCCCAAAAATGTACAAAAGACTAGCTCTAGGAAGTAAACTTATGGGCTATCTCTAGCCTCAAATGAAGGATTTAGCCACTTATTGTAGTGCTCATGAGACCTTCAAGGGCTAGCTTGGAGGTTGGCATCATCATCTTCATCCTTGCTTTCTTCCCAAAACCCTAGTTCTAGAGAGAAAACTATGTAAAAATATCTACTCTATGAAAATTACAATATCAATGATAGAATGTTCAATTAATTAATTATATTCCTCTTTTGAGTAGCCTCTAAGTTAGAAAAATAGCTTATGATTGGAGGAAATTCGCAGCTATACAAATTAGGTAGAAATCGGCGCGCTCGGGAATTGGACAGCACACTGCCAACAGGCACTTCAATCGGTCAAACACTTAACTTCGATCGATCGAAGGTGACATGGCTCGAAAATATCTTCTTTGGCCTTATCCACTTGGCTGAGCTGGCACCGCCTAACTTCGATCGATCGAGAATCCCTTCGATAGATCGAAGTTCCTTAGAGACAATTTTCTTGGCTTCTTTCCAACTTTGCTCCGTGGCTGCAAAATGAGGCTAAAAGGCTCTTGTTAGCCTGTTTGAACTTTATTCACCTGAAATAAGCAATAACATAAATAAGTACTTAAGACATGAAAGTAAGATAGATGAATGGACTAAAATACCCTAATTTAGGTGCTAAAATGCGTCACATTTGAGCACTCATCATATATATATATATATATATATATCAGGATATAGATAGGTTGAACTGGAACACCAAATCCAAAAATCTCCTCATTCGATTCCGATTGATGAGCAAAAGAAATACTAATAAATACTACCCCATTGATGAATTGCATGGGAAACTTCAATATGGATAACCAAAACTATAAATTGTTTGGTGGATGTTTGGCATAATTAATATATGGGGGTAAAATCACATAACCCCCTTCTACTATCATATCCTTGCAAAAAAAAAAAAAAAAAAAAAAAAAAAAAAAATCCACTAAAATTAAACACCCCCTTCAACTACAAAAAGTTATCAAGTTATGTTGCCCAAATATTGATTCTAGAGGGGGAGTGAATAAAGTTTATAACAAACAATGGCCAACTTTCAGTTTTAATTGTTTTGCAAATTTTAATAAACACCTTATAACAATTATGTAATAGTCAGGATATAAACTTAAGTAATTAATAGTACAATTGTAAAAGAGATAAGGGAAGAAAAATGCAAACACTTGACACAATAATTTAGCGAAGTTCGGTAACTCCTACTCCTCGACTCAAGATCCCTCTTGAGACTTTCCTAATCCCACTATGGCACCTCCTTACGGGTGGAAAGCAAACCGGTATAAGAAGCACACCACTTCTAATTCTTTTTACTAAGAGAACAATCCTCTGTTAGACTTCTGTTGGATTACACCAACCCTTATAATTGATTGTAGATAAAAATTTGTTGCACAAGAATATATCTCTCAAAGATTGATATGCAAATCAAAACTCACAACTAGAGTATAAATGAATACAAATAAAGCTCAATACTCTATGAATGATATGTATGAGTGGCTGAAGAAGATGAAGAACAAAAGCACTTTGATACTTAAGAAGGTTTCTTTATTTTTTTCCAATGCATACCCACAATATCCAAAACATTGTGTATTTATAACCTCTTTGAAGAATATAACTGTTAGGGGTGATTTCATTTTCTCAGATCTAAAATTTTAGTCCATTTGATCGTTAGCTTCAGAACCAAATGTCATTTGATCGAATACATAAAGCATCTGATCAGTCACTTGGACTCATCTGATCGGTCACATTGGTGAAGGGATCGATAGGTTCAGATCCTATTTTACCGCACATGCCAAAAAGTAATCCATCTGATCGGATACATTGGTGAACTGATCGGTCACTTGATATACCACAAAAGATGTGAGTTCACTAGTTTTGGCATCCTATCGATAATATGACTGATCTAATCGGTCAGATGAAAAATAAATAATTTTTCTCTATTTTGATCATCTGATAGACAACCTACTCTGTTACTTCTGCATACCTTAAAGTAAATGTCTTTACTGTTTTTATATGTCTATTTACTTTAAGTTTACAATGTAAATAAGGACGTACCCCTTATTTGGATTCAATAAAAAATACAAGAAAATTAAAATCCAACTAAATCAAAATGTAAAAATTTAGTTTTAGTACAATTTGGGGTTTCCGATAGTTTTGGTAAAACTTGATCCTCCGTGTAGGCCAATGTAGAATTGATGAAAAAATCTCAAAAAATCAAATTTGGCTAATTGAAGTATAATGAGTAATTATCGGGAAAAATTATTTTGAAATAGTTATTATTACAAAAATCAATTTTTCATACTTAGCCAAAAATACAGTTTTTCATGAGGCGCATTCAATGGTCCTAATGTCCGATATTAAGTCACGGAAACAAAGGCTTCATATGCCTTAACCTTTATATTCTAGTGACCAATATGAATTATGTGATTAATGTGCATAGTTCTAGCATTTCTAGCATAGGTGATGAGTTCTTTCAAAGGTTATGCAAGTTTGAACTAACTCATTCTTTTAACAATGACTTCATATCTCAAATATATATGATGAAATTCATAATCTATTGCTAATGGATATATGAACATATGAATGATGGTATGATATGCGTGGTCCTATAAGAGATAAATTTCAAATAGATTCATAAATATTTTGATATTGAATCCTAAACACTCACCAAGCTATATACCCCTTTCTTCAAGCTTTGCTTGTTTGTTGTAGTCCAAGCTTTCTTTGGATGAACTTACATTTGGTTCCTTACAACTTCATGCCTCTTTGTATCCATTCTTTTCCATCGATATGATCTTTATTACTTCATTGAGGTCATTCTTTAAATATGAATCAATTACCATACTCAATGTAAACATTAGTCCATAAACACTATTAATGGGTTGTAATTATCAAAATCACTAGATTATCTTTGGTTAAAGGCTTTGTGCCAACAAGTTACCCCATATCCGTGACCGCCCCATTTATTAAGTTGTGAAATGACAAAATTAACCCTATGATTTATTTATTTATTTATTATTATTATTATTTTTTTTTGAAAAAAAACTCCCTTCCGCATGGGTGCGATTGCATCGCCGGAAGTCTTAAAAAAAACTCCCTTTCGCATGGATGCGATTGCATCGCCGGAAGTCTTTTTCATCTTCGCTGGAGCTGGACCCGTACAATCTCAGAGCTATCAAAGTGTATGTGAAAGAATTATTCTAATGCCAAATTCCATTGCACTTACAGGGATTTTGTGATTAACCTGAGCAATCAGTTACAGGTAACTTGGGCTAAACCCTATCCAAATGCTTTTGTCATTAACCTCTACCATTAAATAGAGGTAACTTGAGGTTACTATGGTGCTCAAATGGAGCCTAGTTTGATCATGACTTGCATTGAAAGTCGTAAATTAAATTATAGAAGACTAAATACAGTTTTAATCCTAAGTTGAACAAAGTGGCTCCAATGTGCTTCCCTTCATTTGACTTCCCCATGACTTATGATTCAAAATTGTTTTATTCTGAGCCCTTCAATTTCATTGTAGATATCTGAATTTGAGACTGATTGGCCACATATAACCAAAATTCAATCATTAAAATTTAGTGCCAAATGAAACTTTAGGTCATGACTCAAGAATATTGAATTTTAGAGACCCGTTTGGGTTCCCGGCGTGTTTAACGAGTGTTTGCATTACTATTTAGCCATTAAACGAGTGTTTGCATTACTACTTCGCCATTAAACGCTTAAAGGCACTACTCTGTCAGAGCTGATTTTAAAAAGTGTGTGTGTGAGGAAGAAGAGTGTTTTTGTAATTTCATTTGATAACCTAATAAATTGATCGGTTAGGTGTATAAGGTAACTTAATTTTTTTTTTTTTGTTTTTTGGTGGGTAGTAGAGGGGTTATGTGATTTTACCCTTGGCCGCTCGGTTTATTTGTTACGTGTGAGGATATCAAGTCTTGCCTGTTTGTTTTTACCTAAAAATAAAAAAATAAAAAAAAAGAAAAGTGTTGCCTGTTTGTCTGTTTTAGCAATTACATTTTTATTTATTTATTTCATATTAATTAAAAAAAAAAAATCCCCATTTCTATTCAGAGTGCGTGTTAACAAATAAATCGCATCCTTGAGTTGAGGGGGGAGAAGAGAGAATGAAGTTGTTATCTGCATCATCATCAGCGTTAGCGCATCCTCTTCTTCCTACACTGTCGCAAACCCTAAATCGGATCAATTTGAATCCCCCATTCCCAGAAATTGGAAGGTTGCAATTTGGTTGCAACAATAATAATGATAAAAAGATGAAGAATGGGACGACGGGGATGATGGGGATAAGTAGTACTAGTAGAGACAGAAGCAAGAATCGAAAGCCCCTACAGAGAGGGAGGAACCTCAGCATCGAAGCAATCCAAACAGTTCAGGCTCTCAAACGTAATTTAAACAACAATAATAAGAAGAGCAATTGTGGTGATGATTATAATTCTTCAGACTCTTTGGAGCAAGTCTTCCGTTCTAAGCTCAGGCGTTTACTCAAGTTCGATATGATGGCCGTTCTTCGTGAACTCCTCCGCCAGAACCAATGCTATTTGGCCCTCAAGGTACCTTCCTTTATTATTTTTTTCCCCCTTTTGTAGCATATTTATATACTCCAATCTGGTTTTACAATTCATATTATATAGATATATATATAACAGACACCAATTCTGAGGATTCTATTTCCAGTTAGAAATTAGAATACCTATAATGCTATCATCATATATTACTTGAAATGTGGTATTGTCCTCTCCCGTGTCCAACTGTGCAGATCATTGTTCTTCTTTTTGCATGGTTTCTTGACCTTATCCTCAACAAGTTTTCAATAAAAATTTCATTTTTGCATTAGTGATTTATTTCCCCATTTACTTTTTAGCAATTTGTTTTCTGTTATGTCAGAGATGGGACACCCTTGAATAGTTTTTTTTCCGTAGTACATACTACACAAAACTTCCTCTTCGTGTTGAGTGTCACTCTTATCTTGTAGACTAAAAGTACTGAAACTAATTGTGAGATAAAGTAGAGTGTTGGTTTATTAGGATTGAATTAATGTTCTATTCTGAAAGTGCTCTTAATCTTGAATGTAATTGTTGTTATAATTAATTAAGCCTTCTTCGTGAGTTATGAGCCCTAATTGAATATGCAGAAATATTGGTTTATATATACTTACTTGCGCTCTCAAATCCTGGTTTGTTTTGTGTATTTTCCATTACCTAAACTTCCGTGAATATGCCATTTGGTGGCTCAAATTCTCGATCACACTGTTATGTTAGAAGCTTTTGCAAGTTTATAGCATTAGAATTCAGTCGAACTAGCCAATTAACATGTGAAAATTGCATTTCTGATTTCTAGTTTTACCTTTAGTTTGTCAAAATCAACAGTAATATTTTCACTAGAAGACATGCTCAGCCAATTAATGATTGTTATGTCTCCCTTCCTACAATAAGTTTTTTTTTTTTTAATTTTTTTTTTTATTGATAAAACTGAAAATGTGCTGGGAATTTGTTTTCTCATTTTATATCAGGTTGGTCCATAGAAGAGCGAAATTATGTGAACGGGTAAATCCATTCAGTTTAATTATTCCTTACCTACATACATACACTAGTATATATATTTTTTAATGGCAATTTCTGTTCCTTATTTTTCCCTCAAAATGAATATAAATCAATATATAATAAGTTAAGAGCAGTTTGTTAAGGTGCGGTAGGCCTATTTTGGTATTTCTTCCATCCTTAGATTTTTGGCTTCTCTTTTTTTGATATTGGGGGATGTCTTAAATGCCTTATTAACTATTGAGTGAATTGTTTCTAACTGAATGATGTAATTTCTGTCTGATTTCTTTCACAGTTTCAAAGTTATGTTTTAATTACAATTATCATATCATTAGACCTGTTCTCTGTCTGTATGATAATCAAAACCTGTTCAACTACCTTCATCTAATTATCCTCGTTGAATGATTTAGGTTTTTGAGGATGTTCGGAAGGAGGACTGGTATAAACCTCAGGTCTCACTGTACGCTGATATGATATCAGTTTTAGCAAGCAATGGGCTTTTTGAAAAGGTGGAACTTCTTTTCATGCAATTGAAAATGGAAAGTAGTTTAGAGCCTGATACCGAGGGCTTTAATGCACTTTTGGAAAGTCTGATGATAAATAACTTCACTGGAATGGCAATGGAGTGCTTTCAGTTAATGAAAACAACAGGATGCGAGCCAGATAAATCATCATTTAAAATAATGATAAATGGTTTAGAATCAGAGGGAGAAACAGGTCTTTCAGCCATTGTAAGGCTAGAAGCTCAGAAATGTTATGGATTTCTAGAGGAGAATGAAGAGATGACAGTGAGTTGAAATGGATCCTGCCAGATGAATGATTCAATCATATCATGGAAAAGTGAGATATCATGCCCACCTTTGCATGTTGAAAGGTAGTGACTCTGTAACTTGCATTGCCTTAATCCGAATTGAAGAATTGTTTCATACACGAGACCTTTTGCAATTCCTAGATGACAATAGATCTTTTGGTGTAGGTGTGACGGGATAAGGTTAGCATGCAAAATTTCAGTATTTTGGCAGAATATTTTTCTAGCTTCCATAGAATGATGCAGGTTGCTGATTAAGTTTGTGTATTTGGAACTCCACCATTCTCCGCATCTTCAAGACAATTGATTAGTAACTTCATCCTCTCAGTTCAGTTCCTTTTCCATAGTTCACTAATACTTTGTAGTCCATCCTCGACTGTGATCCTGCAGTAAAGAATTCCTCTTGCCTAACTTGTATTTCCAGAAATCATCAAGGCTCTGTTATTAGAGTTTGCATTGAGATTACTTCAGCCTCAGATTCTGCAAATTACCTTTCTTTTGAATTTGCAGCATTTTAAGCCTCTGAACCGGAGTTGAATTGTTTTACTATGGAAAACAACTGTCAGGTGGCTGTTTCTGCATGTTGGAGTTCCTCTAACCTTTGGAGCCTCAAGCTACTAGATTCCAATCGGTTATGGTTAATCCAAAAGAATCCAAGGCTCTGCAGTTGTGTGGTCCATGAACTGAGAAGCTGGGTTTTAAACTGAAGTTTTCTGGGTCATTGGTCCCAAGGCTCTTCCTAGATGATGAGTCCAGGTTATGCTGGGATCTCAGTTTCTATTCTTACTTTATTTCTTTGTTTCTTCCGTTTGCTAAGTAACAAACTCACACGTGTACATATATATCCCAAACTAGCAATAACTAGGTTTCTCTAAATTACTCTATTAATATGTGCTTAACAAGTTTATGACATAAAAAAGATAATATACTATTTATAAAAAGATAATCTATTATTCATTTACATCCATTAGAACCGTACAAGCTAGATATGTACTTTTCAGATTGATGGTTATGCTGCACATGCAAGTACGGGGATAAACCATCTCAGAGGCAGTTGGTCAAACTGATGAATCAGTTGGCAAGGAAAACGATTTGATGAATCAGTTTAATTTTTAGAGAGATAAAATTTCTTTACACCATTTAGCTTGATGCAAATTGTATCATATTTGATAGAATAATAACTCCCTCCTTACCCTCCTTTTCATTTTCTTTCTATTTTCATATTAAAAGAGTAAGAGAGCTCTCTCATGACTCATGAGCTCTCCTTCTTGACTATTGTATTGAGAGATTTTATTAAAACATTCATTTGACTTTTCACACGTCTCAAAAACTACCTCAATCTAATGGTAAATAAAGTGAGAGATGACTCTTGTCGTGAGAGGGCTCTATTGATAGCCTTACCCCTTTTAAAAACATATATTGTACAGCCTTTTCATTCAATTTCATTTCTTTTTCTTCCAAGTTCCAACTCATAATCCAAAGTCCAAACAGGCCCTAAAACTTGCCTACTGGACAAGTTTATGAGATTTATTACCATTCTTAACTAGGAGAGGAATGCCAAATTGCCTTTATCCTGTTGATACGGTTATCATTTGCATCTCTTGTATATCTACTGCTTACCGCCTTAAAAATTATATCCATGGTGAACTCATCAGTGTCTTGTAGATCCACATTTACGCGCAAGTATTGTATTTATGTTGCTTAGCACAATAAAGAAGTACTATATATTTATTTAATTGGTATGTCTCTCGTGTGAGTTGTGAAGCCACGTAGATATACTATGACTGAAAATTTTAGGGCTCAGATAAACCAGAATAGAGAATTCACATACAGCAGAAGAATGCAATTTCAAGGGAGACATACTTTTGCTTTTTCATAATTACACATTCCATCAACGCGTATATTTTCTTCTCAACATATAACAAAGAGGTCTAATTGGGGCCTACAAGTTGTATTCTTTTCAAAGCTGTTCTCCAACTTTTTCTTCTATTTTGACCATGAACTGGAATTCATTGAATGGCTGGGAATTTAGATTACTCAAAGCTGAATGCTTTTTGATGTGCATACCTTTGTTATCTTGATTATCTGCTGCCTGACTTCTAAATTCTAGTTTTTCATCTTGCCAATACTAGAACTGTTTCCCTTGGAATGTCTGACCAAATCTCCAGTTTGCCGGAGCAACATTGTAGGATGTGACTGTTTTCCCGCCGCTCGTTGTGACCTCGAACGAAAGAGGCTGTCCTGCAAGGTTGATATTACACTGCCAATTTTGGCCCCAATTCCTACCCATGGGTATCCACCCTGTCTTTGATCCTTTTACTTTCACTGCAATCACTTGCCCATCCAAGCCTACATTGGTGATCAGAACTTGATGGAAGTATGAACTCCCCTTCACGGTGAATCTAATCCCTCCATTTCTCTCACAATTAACCCTGTACGTTAATATCCACATGAATTTACTTACTTTGTTTGCTTTATTACTAGAGGGTATTACAAGACAGGCATATATATATATACATACATACAGCAAGCAAAACAAGGGTACTGAATTTCAATTGGTTGTTTTGGTTACCTCCTGTACTGAACTGGAATTAGGTCAGCCCTTGGCTCTGCTATTTCGGCAAATGCAGCCTCGGACATTTCGAAATGTGCTTTGGGGAAGTTGCACCACCCACCATAATCAGCTGGAAGCCCATAATTCGGGGGACAGAAATCCGTGGCGGTTAGAATGACGGAAGGGCTTCCCCGCAGGCACCACAAAATGTGATCGACACATCTCAGCTCGAAGCATCCCCCACAGGTACTCCCTCTTTCAAATAGCATACTACTTAGTCCGGCACTGTGCTTTCCATAGCTGGTCCTGTGAAGGTCCCCATAACCACAAGCACCTTCTGCAATAGTAAATCATAAACTACTGTCGTGAATGAACTCACTGGTCATGTTCCGGTTAAAGACTATATACTAACACAAATTAAGCACTCTTATTATATGTGTTGATTGAGAGTAGAAGCAAGAGAAATACCGATAACGATGGAGTCATATGTTTGGTTGGAGTATGTTGCAGTAGCAGACTTCCATTCAGCCTGTTGTTGAGCATGAGCAGCAGCCCCAGCCCCGGGGTATGTGTGTGTGTGCAATAAAACCAAGACCAAGTAGGCAAATGTGGGCTTAAGGGCACCCATTTGAGACCAGAAAGGTTTCTGTGAAGTTTTTTTGATTTGCATCTGAATAATGGTCCCTATTCTTGCCCTTACACTTCTTTTCTTTTCTTTTTCTTTTTTTTTCCTTTTTCTTCTGTGTTTTTCCACTTCCTTTCTTTATGGGGATTGTAGAGGATTGGGAGGTAAAGAAAAAGCTCTTTTTTTTTTTTTCTTTTGGCTTTTTCTTTGGGAGGAAAAAGAAGGAAATGATAAGAACTAGTATTTTGAAAGAGACAAAAAAATGTGTCAGTGAGCGACTAATGAGTCCTCAGTTCACATTGTGGTGAGAAGAGAACACTGAGCACATGAAGGTTGTGCTGTGTTGGATGTTACAGAATAGTAGAAGAGTGTTGTCTTTAATTTTATTTTATTTTTAACCCTTTTGTTATTCCTAGGCGGGAAATGGGAAAGAAGAGTCAAAAAGTTGGTGCCTACTGCCAACAATCTGGCTCCATTCTAGAGAGAGAGAGAGAGAGAGAGAGAGAGAGAGAGTGTGGGGTTCATCTCATTTACGGCTGGTGGCAGACATAAGGGCTGCAGAAAGTCTTAAAATTAATAGGAATCCAAGGGATTCTTCTTTTCTACAGGGGACTGGCTCTCTCTTGCTCAAACCCTACACATTTGGTCCCTTTTTTTAGAGGGAAAAATACATCCCAATGGGCAATTGGAATTTATTCTCACTCTTTTTCTTTTTTTACTACTGTATTTTTTATTTACCGATGGGGATTGGCGGGAATATATATATTTATTTGGCGGGAATTAGTGCCTTCACTCCCTACCTTGCCTGGGCCGGCACCACTTGCAGAAAGATCCATTTGTGGGCTACGAGTCTAGGACGCGCAATCAATATAGCGGTGATTCTAATTTAATATTGTTTGTTGAACAAGTCAATTTGAGTGGATTTATTGAAGTGAATTGTGAGGCTTATGTTTTTTTAATTGCTCATTTATGCAATAAAGGGAGTGGGACTTTTCACTTACTTGTATTGTGTATAAATAACCAAGCAAAAACATTAGGATAGGAAATTCACTGCTGCAACAAAATGAGAAGCTTAATTCTATAGGTTCGGCAATATAACCCAACCGGAAATAAGAATGTGTAAATTATAAACACGTAATTATTTAAAAATAATAATGTTTCATGAAGAGGTCTCTAAACCAATTCAATATTCTCGGGAATCGAAAGCTACTTGACAGAGCATGCGAGCAATTACAAGTTTGATGAAAAATGAACATCAAAATATACCACTACTAGTGCATTGAAAACACATGGAAAGCAAACATGTATTAGGAACTAAATTAAACCAACTTCATCATAACCAGAGAGAAGAGTGAAATGCCACGAGAGTTTGCATCACCTCCTCCGATGGCTTAGCCGAGTGGGGAAGCTTTGGGTCCCACAACATCATCTTCCATTGATTTGAACAGTAATTGTTACAGTTACTTTGTTGCTCGGTTAGGCTTATTGTTTCGTGTAATTGGGCTCTTGGATTGTCTCATGTCAATTCTTTTGATGGGTCAAGGAGCTATATCCACCATCTTTCTTGTACATTACCTTTTACATACGGACGGACTATATTTAATTTCAAAGGATTATAAAAAATAATAATTTTTTGTTTTCTAAATTATTTTCTGAGTGACAAAACTCTAATATAATAATATTTAATTAAACCATTTCAAAATAAAATTAAGGTGAATTGTTATACTCATCTTACCAGACTATAGGCCTAAGTGGTGCAAACTCCTAAATTAGGCCCGTCAAAATAATCTCTGGTTATTATTTAAAATGGGCCTACCATAAGTTTTTCATGAGGTATACATTCTCTCCTTAATGGGCCCACTTTAGCAACTTTAATATCAAGAATCTCTACCTAATTTTCCGCCTTATTGGCTTAATGATTCTAAACTTTTTCTCAATCTCTTTTTTTTTTGCCTTTAACGTGAGATGATAATTTTGTTTATATCTTTTCTAAAGTGTTTAAATCTTGCATTTTGACATTAACAAGTATTTTTCCCCTTTGATTTTATGAACCAATACAGAATTCTCAATACTTTGTTTTTCCTTCAATTTTGCAAAGTGGAAAACAGAAAACAGTGAGTCAAGAAGAGGGATGGAGAAATCAGAGAGATAGAGAAGGGTCGTCAAAACCTCTTTAGTTTCTTTCCATATTTATTTTTGGTATCTTTAGCTCCCAAATAAAATATCAACAATTTAGGTAATTATGTGGCGGTTACACCTACGATCTAGGAGTTGGTCAATTTGATCGGACAGAGTATCATTACTCTTATAGGGAGGCCCACTTTTAAATGTTTGCACTATAATCTTAAATGAAAAGGTGAACTACATTAAACCCCCCTTTCCTATCTGTGTTTTTTACTAAATCCCCTTTTTCCATTTTTTTGTCAATAAACTCCTCTCAACTATTCGTGGTGGGTGATTTAACTAACGGAAGTTAGCTGAAAATGAGCTGTTTGAATATTTAGTTTCACATATATTTTTTAGACAAAAATGTCATTGTACCTATTTTAATATACCTTCACTTATATATCTACTCCATTATCACTCTTAGCCGCATATATTCCACCATTGCAACAACACGTACTCTTCCATCATTATAATATTATATATAATTTGTATCATAATATAATGGTATATATAATATGTGCCATTAAATATTATTTATACTATATTTTCATTCCATCCAGCATTCAGATTAATATAAATTTTGGTTTTTCTCTTGAAATTTATCTGCTATATATATATATATATATTTGAGAATTATATTGTGCATTCATTTATTTGGTTCTTATTGATTTTCATTTTATATAGATTTATTAAATGGACACTGCGAGAAATAATGCCTAATTTTTTTCTTTTTTTATATTAATATTTATGCCTACATGTTTTCTTCTTCTTTTTATTTTTTTATTTTTTTTATTTTTTAATATTTCAATATCATTTTTTTCTATAAAAAAATAAAAAATTCCTTCCATGTGACTAATGTGAACTTGTTAGTTTAGTAAAATGTTAAAACAAAAAACACAATAGAAGTGTTAATTTCTGTGAATGATGTTGTTTAGCTTAATATATATAAAAATAAATAAATAAATAAATAAAAGAAGCAAAGTAGATTTTTCAAATAGGCTTTAATGGATATTTAAGTCAATTTATATTTCAGTTCTCTTTCCACTCACTCCCGTTAGTTAAATCACCCCCCTTGAATAGTTGGGGGAGGGAGGGTTTAGCAAAAAAATAGAAAAAGGGGGTTTAATGAAAAATATAGATAGAAAATAGGAGTTTAATGTAGTTCACTCTAAATGAAATAACAATTTTGGCCATAACTTTACAAATAAATAATTATTATTTTTTAAATGACACAACTGTCCTTTCAGATTTTGTGTCCTTATTTCTAATTTTTAATATTTTAGATATTTTTTGATAAGAGTAAAAAATATATATTATGCTGAATAAATTGCCTCTTTTGACCGGACAACAAAATAAAAAGTAACCATTAAAAAAAATATCTGTTTTGATATGAAAAAAACCCAAAATAAATATATTTATTGAAGAAATTATATATTTTGAGATAAAATTTTTTTTTTTTTATCTCTTCTGAATAAATTATCTCTTTTGATAAGACCAAAATAAATTATTTCTTTTGACAGGACCCATAAAAAATTATCAAAAAAAAAAAGTTACCTCTTTTAACAGGACTAAAAAAAAGTTAATTTTGTTAAATAAATATCTCTTTCTATTGTACCAAAAAAAAGTCATTATGGAATAAATTATCTCTTTTGTCCGTCAAAAATAAAATTTTTAGTATGAAATAAATTATTTTCTTTGAGGGAAAAAAATAGTAAAGAAAGTAAAGAAAAAAAAGTTAAAGTTGTATAAAGGGTAATTATGACATTATAAATTAGGGGATTGTGCATTAATGAATTCAATAACCTTTTGTCATTTCTTTTAAAAGAAAAAGAAAAATGAAATGCAATCGGAGAAAAGTGGAGTGGGCCTCCCTAATTATATATAGTTATTGTTACATTAAATAAGTAAGATTATTCAAAGCAACTTTTAAAAATTTTCAACAATTGTTTTAAAAAGTGCCATTCAATAACAACACAATTTGAATTATCACTACAAAAAGTAAGTTTGATGATGATTTCACTCAAAACTGGACACCGCATGCTAATTGTGTGTTTTTTTTTTTTTTTTATTACTTGGTTTTTAATTTTGTCAGTAGCTAACATTTTTTCTTTCTTCTCATATATATATATATATATATATGTATGAGGGATTCATTGCTATTATAAGCTTCTTCTTCTTTTTTTCCTTCTCATAAAGATATATTTGAAAATTTTGTTATTTGAAAGACAGGAGAGATAAAGTAGAAAAAAAACAAAAATTGAAGAGAAAAAGTAAAGGTAGTCTTGTAAAGTAGAAAATATATATATATATATATAATTTTTAACAATGTTTGTTATTCAATCAAAGGACAAAATGGACAATGTTCAAAGACGTCCAAGACTCTCTTGCTTGTGCCTACTGTTGCTTTTTATTTTCCTCATTCTTAGACTAAACATGAAACTTTCCTTCCTTGTGAACAACACACTATGATGAAGTGAGAATGTAAATTGTTGTTGCAAATGATTTTCAAATATGAGCAAAAACAGAATCAACTTTCTTCTCCCACTTGTGTACGTGCATTGAGCAATTCAATAGTAAGTAATCATCATTATTGTGTGCGTGTTTGAACTTGTAACTTCAATTTTGTTTCGAGAATTTGATCCTACCTCTGCTTACTGAAAGGTTGCTATATTTCTTCTTTTCTGTTGTTTCTCTTCTTCTGGACAGCAGCGTAAATAGTTGTAAGTCCTCCACCAATAGATGGTCTAGCGGTATCAGGCCCTTACTTCTTAAAGGGATGTCAGGAGTTCGAGTTTCAGGGGAGGCATGTGTGTGGATGTACCAACTAAGAAAAAAAAAAAAGTTGCAAGTCGTCCTCCGTGATTGATTTATCCAGTTGTGTGATGGTGAGCAGCTTACAGGTATGGACTTTTTTCACCCAATTTAGAGAAGCAATTGAATTCTCTCATGACAGGCTTGGTGATTAATCAGGGGATCTGTCGTGACCACTCCACGATGATATCTTTCAGTGGAACAATGCAGGTGGCAGGTGTATCCTTGCCATTGTCTCCAATAAGAACTGAATTTCTCTCTTTCCTGCTGCTGCTGCTATCGTTGTCATTCTTGTTATTGAGATATAAATCGTATATTTTCTGGTCCAGTGTTCCTGCTCTATAAACGAACACATCGTCCTCTTTTTCCATACGTTTCCACACAACTTTTAGGTCGTGAACACGATTGAGTGGCATTCCCCTGAAATACAAGTAATCAAAACCAAACCATGTGAGTTTTACAAAGTTGAACATATCATAACACATTCAAACATAGCCAACAAGCTAGGGTACGTTTAGAGGAATTATTATCTACAATACTAAAATGGTGAAGAAGACATGAGTTTATAATGAGTATCAAAATTTCATATCAAATTTACAATTAAAATAACAATATGTTCAAGCCTTGTTAGCTACAAAGAAGAAGAATGTTGCCCATTAATCTCATTCTGACATTGAGAGGAAGTAGAGCCCAGGACATGCAAATTGGAGATTTACCTCCAAGTTTATAACAAAATTAGCTACTCCAAACCCTAAATCACATAAAGTGGAAGTGTGAGAGTGGCAAAATTATGTATAAATAGTGAAAATTTGAACTAAAGCATGTTCGGAGCGTGAGAGCGACGTCTGTTTAAAAAGATTATATGACACCTGTTTAAAAAGATTACATGATTTAGTCCAAACCCTCAAAACTAGTCTAACATATGCACCAAAGACGACTTCTTTTAAATACTTCAATAATTTTATATTCTCTCTTTCTATTCATTAAAGTCCAGATTCTCTACATTCCTTTATTTTAAAAAGAAAAACTAGTCGGAAGGTCTGGAAGTACCAGAATCAGGCAATAAGTTACTTCAAGATTTTCTGAAATTACTGTGGTGGGTCCCATAAAGTAACTCATCACCGCTACCAAATTATCTCATTTGCAACAACAATTTACAGATATGAATTGAGACACTAATCCTTTGATGTGGAGATTATATTATGATTCCACAACATGGATTAGAATAGCTCCAACAAGCAGTCAAAAAGTTTGATTTTTCTATAATGGCAGGTAAATGTTTGAAAACCACAAAGTTTCACTCAAATTATGCAACAATTTGTCAAAAGTGCAGCACATTCATGTCCCATCTCCTTTACATTTCTGATTACCATTTTTATATTGGTTTTGCCCTTAATGCTCCATCTAATCTCAGGTTGAGTAAATGTAAATTCCAAAGATTTATTAATTTCCTAATCACTTGCTCTTCAATTTTTCTTTTTTCGCTTTTATTATTTTATATTTGAAGCTTAACAAGAAAAGCTTTCAAAGGAGAAGATATGATGTATGAACATTCTTACAACATATAAGCTTTGCAGGAAAACCACGTCTATTCTGTCTATGCATTTACCAAGCTGCTCATGTCATATTTCAAATCACATCCATAACCTAGAATTACCATTTTTATAGTGTTTAACATCCGCAACTAGTACATAATCTATTGCTAAAGTGAAGTTAATAACATAAATTTGATTTCCAACTATTTCACACTTCAATTCTTTATAAGTTTATTAAACGATCTCCGACACAATGGTATAATTTCTTTATCTTCAAAAGGGAGGGGTAGATTTGATTCAACGTTTGAGTGAGTACTTATTTAAAAAATAAAAATAAAAATAAAAATAAAAATAAAAATGAAAACAAAATCTTTGTGAATTTTCTCTTGTTCTCATTATCGTCCCGGTTGCCTACTTGGATGAAGTTTAAAAGATTTAATTATTGAATTTGTTTGTCAAAAAAATTTGCCTTTCCTTGTCCATTGTCAATAATGTCATTGTCAACAAAACAATGAAAAAGAAATAGACGTAGAATACAGTTTGACTTTGATGTGGAAATACTAAAAAAAAACGCAAATCTAATTCATCCAACCCAAATCTAATTCATACAGTTATCTTAGAGTCGAAGAAATGGAAATAAAATCTAAATCTAATTTATTTCATTTTTGCAACAAATTCAATAGTAAACCAAACAGAGATTAAGTCACACTTAACATCCTAGAACTTCTATCTATTCAGATTTAGAGCATGTTTAACAGTTCTTATAATATTTTTTTTATGTGTAAATTTAATTTAAAATATATATATATATATATATAGACAATCTTTGGAGATGCTCTTAGAGAAGAAATCCATTTGTAATTAAAATTTCAATCACACATAACACTGTACAAAGATATGTGCCTCTAGCACAACAATAAATTAATATAAAAAGAACTGATATTCCAACTATGAAAAAGTACACCCAAAAGAACAGGGGCTATAGATATATATGAAAAAAGGAAACTGAGAAGGGGAAATTAAATTAATGGGTAAGAGAGGGAGAGACGGAGAATTGAGAAGGGTTACCGAATGTGGAATAGCTCAGAGATGTCAGGCATCTGGATGTAGAAGTTGAGGACATCCAAGAAATTTCTATAGATGGAGATGTGGAGTCCGTCCAGTCTTGGGTAGGGAAGTCGGGGACTCGGCGGTGGTGGCTCTTGCGGCGACTCATTCCGCCACCAACCCGCTGAATACATGTACTCCTTCCATTGGGCGGTGGCGGTGGAGGTGTCGCCACCGCAGTTGGGCTGCGCCGGTGAAAGAGGAACGGCAACGAAGCCGATAGTGGCCATGATGGGTTCGAGGTCGTCATGAACAATGAGGGGTTTGAAGGTGCGCGTGTGCCAGAGTGCCAGCTTTTTTGTACATACCTTCACGCAATCCTCCATATATGCGCGTGTATGTGTCTGTATATATATATATATATATATATACACGCCTTCTCTCTGGGTTTTTTCCCTTCTTCCTCACCTTTCTACCCTTTTCACTTACAATCTGGTTTCAGTGTCTGCAGATACACATCTCTCTGTATATATATATATATATGTATGTATGTATATATAAAAACGGACAGTACATAGATGTAAGGACGATTTGAGAACTTGGAAGGAAAGTTATTCGGTGTGGATTTTGAAATGGTTTTTTTATTTTGACTCTCATGCCAAATAGGAGTGGAAATTAAATATATATATATTTTTTCCTTTAAAGGGTTATTACTATCAAAGAATAATGACGGTATTTAAAACAAATCAAGGGGTATAACAAATGTTTTACCAGTGCATTAGGACTCAATGTCTTTGCTGGGACCAATGGATTTAAAAAGTTGAAAAAAAAATACGTACTACTACTAATAATAACATCTATAAAAATCACCAAAATGGCAAATTACTTGGCCTCTAAGGGTTCGCCTCACCCCTCTTTGGTTTTGTGGTGGTTGAGTAGAAGCCACAGGAATCTACCTCAGCCGTTTGGGTAGCCCCCAAGTTCTTCAACGCATGATATAAGTCCAGTGGAACCTATTTAAGTCCCTCTTAATCGACCAGAGTTCAAGGTAAGGGACAAAAACGGTGTGACTTAACTGGACTTGAGAGTTTCAGGCACCGAGAATAAAAATATGCATCAGGCCTAACAAAAATTTCGGAAAAAAACACAAAAAAAAAGGAAGTTAGGCCTGCAAGATTTGCAAATAAGAAAGGGACTAACAGCAAAAAAATTTCCTAAACTATTCATTTGTTGCCAAATTCATCACAAAAGACTATTTTATCCTTTCTCATTAAAATTTTCATTTCTTATTAAATTATTTTTATTATCTTTTCTCTTATGTAAATATTAATTATACTATTTACCTTAATTTTATTTTTAGAATCAATTTATCATAAAAATGAAAAAATAAGATAAATAGATTTGTAACTACCATATTCTAAATTGATTAACTTATTATTAAAACTTTATTATTTATAATAAAACGTATTATAACCAATTTAAATATTTTTATCGTAAAAAATTATCATATTTTTCATACACTATATTGATGAAAAATTAATAAAATACTTTTGAAAAAAATACCTTCTTTTCATGTAATATATTCATTTAAAAAAATTTCTACTAAAATTTTTTATTTAAATAATTCATTAAAAAAAATTAAAGGTAAATTTATGCAAATTTAATGGAAAATATCTCATCAAATTATTATGAATTTTTTCATAATTTATTTAGATAAGAAAAATATATTAATTTAATTCAATAAGAAGGTGAATTATAGTCATTTAATGAAATAGGGTATAGTCCTTGGGGTAGGTTGCAACAAAATGAGATAGTTTAAGGGGTTTTATGCACGAATTATAGTCCAAAGGGGTTATTTGTAAATTCAAACATAGTTCAAGGGGGTTTTTTGCACTTTACCCAATAAGAAAGACTGAGCTTCATTTATATTGCAAAATTATTTTAATACTTTTGTATAATATTAATAAAAAATACCCTTCCATAAATTAAAAATTCAAAAACCTAATATTTTTCCTTTTTATTATTTTAAAAACTCATATATTCTCATTAAAAAAAAAATAAAATAAAAAATAAAATTAAACAGTGACGGCAGGTGGAGACTGGTGAGAGAATTTAAATTAAGAAGGGTTACACACTAAGAATTTATATCGTGTCCACAACGTATTTAATGTTTCCATGTTGCGGAAATTTCTGCGAGATGAGGATCATTATCAGCATATTGATGTTGGTGAGATTGAGTTGCAGCCGGATGGAACCTATGTAAAGCCACCGTATCGCATTCTAGACCATATGGATCAGGTTCTTCACAGCAAGGTTATATCTCTTGTGTGTGTTAAGTGAAACCATCATAATGAGGCTGAATCTACTTGGGAACGGGAAGATGAAATCCGTTCAAAATTTTGAAAAATTATGGATAAGGTAAGGGCGAATTCTGACTTTAAAAATTAGTGGTATTATATTCTTCTCCCTAACAAAAGGAATTCTGAGGGCAGAATTCCTTTTGTTAGGGAGAAGAATGTAATACCCCTAATTTTTAAAGGATTATTTGAGATTTATTTATTTATTTTATTACATTTAATTTGATTATGTGGCTATATGATTATATGCTTATTTGATTTAATTATTATGTGCTTATTTGATTTAATTGTCTATGTGAATTATGTGTGTTAATTGTGTGTGATTGCATGTTAAATTGTGTAAATTTATTTGTAATTAATTACTAGTATTAAATGTTGTATTTTATTTTATTTTAAAGGAGCTGGACTTGGATAGTAGAAACGGACCAACCAAATGGGTCCCATGAACTACTTGGATAGGAAGCCTAAATGGGTAATGATTATGACCTATGAGTTTTAGATATATATATTTATTTTAATGTGTATATATTGATATTAATGTGTGTATATATATATATGGATATTATTGTTAGGATTATTATTATTATTATTATTGTGACGACCCTGGTTTTACAAGTTAGTGCGTCTTGTGATAACCCAAAGGTTGATCCGAAAACACATCCCGAATGCAGAAGAGAAACTCTAAGAATATACATCATCCCTAAAACGGCAAAATGACCTTCCTTGAAGTCACAGAACTCAACAGAACGAGAGCGGATGCTGGGGTTGAAAATAGACTAATTATGGCCCCAAGAGCAAAATGATCTTTTCACCTAGAAATGAAGTCTTTAGGGATGCACGTCATCCCGAAGACGCCAATGTAACTTCCCATGAAGTTACGGAACTCAAAAGATAACAAGATGCGGAAGCGACATTTTAAAAAGGGACAATTGCAACCCTAGGGGTAAAATGGTCATTTCAAAACAAAAATGGGTGTTACCGGGCACACCATTGGATAGAAGACGAAAAATTAACGAAGTTAGACTCAAGAATCACTTGATTCGGAGTCCGGACGAAAGAGTTATAGTCAAATGAAAACGGGGCGTCAAGGCTGCCAAGGAAGGCACCCATAGGCGCCCACATGTGCACGCCGCGTGCGCACAACCAGCACACCTGACTGTAGCCACAGGGCCTGCACAAATTTTGGGATTTGAAACGCGATTTTGAGGGCTTAAATGGTATTTTTTGGGGAAAAAGTTGTGAAGTGACCCCCCCAAAATCATATTTTCTACATAACCATGTCAAGAGAAATCCTTATTTTTCAAGTGAAATGCCTAAAATGCCCCTTAGATCAGACTTTTTCCTGAAAAATGCATGTACCAGAAAATCAGATTTGGCGCGGGGTTTTCGAGACCAAGACGACATTTTTTAGAAAATGTCTGTGAAGAAATCCCCCTTAAAATTACATTTTCTAAGTGACCATGTCAAGAGAGTTCTTATATTTGAAAATAAATTCCCAAAATACCCTTAAAGTAGATTTTGCAAAAACATAAAAAAAGTATGATACTCCAAGTGTCTAATTCACCAAAAATGGTGTTGTGTGCAAAAGCAATTATGCACGTAAACGTAATATACCTATTTGAGTGTGTTACAATGGCCCATGGCCTTAAAAGACACCCAAAGCAAAATATGGCATGTTAAACCTCAAAATTTCATAATATTGCTTTTAAAGGAAAAACATGAAACCAAAAGGTATATAAGTGAACAAAAAACGTTTTGGCCCTTGGCCATACTTCATATATATAAAATAGATCCCAAATAGTGTGTTTAATGTCACTGGCTTAGAGTTTCAGTACCATTCTAATTGCTCCCGTGTGGCACCAAGACGTTGTTTCTACTCTCGTAAGTATTTGGTCAGCCTAACTCCCGTGCACACCTTAGCCAACACACTCCCATCGTGCGCTTACTAGTATTGTAGTGGCACTCGCCCTCTCTTCACTTAGCTTGCACACTCACACACACTAAGGCACTTAAGTTGGCAAGAAAAGAACACTTCTATTACTTCAAAGAATGCTTTATACAAGGCTAGCACTCAAACTCTCTACAAGGCTCTCAAGGCTCACTCTAGGACTTGTTGTCTACAAAATGAAGTCCCACTCCTATTTATAGGCATCCTCATCCCTAATGGACGGCTAGGATGCATTCTAACCGATGGTGGAAATCGATTCTCTAGAATCTTCTCCCATTTTCTTCACACTTCCATACTTATCTACAAGTATCTACAATATTGTAGAACTCTCCATAGTACTTCACACAATTCTGGAAAACTCTATAATATACTACACATATCTAGAATCTTCCACACAACTCTAGACAACTCCGGAAGACTCTAGAAACTCCACTTGCCATGCAGTTGCCATGTAGCGTCCTCCTCAGCGTCTGCGTGTCGCCTGCGTGGCATAACCTCCATAGGCGGGGCATGACATTCTCCCCTACCCATTTTCGTGACGCCCTCGTCAAGGTTTCTTCAGCTGACCTAGCCTCTCACAAGTCATCAGCACTTACACATACGTCCTTGGCCCAAACATACACGCCCCCTTTGGGAGATGTGAGGTCCTCACGAGCTCCATTGTGTTGACTGCCACCTCTGGACTCTCCTTCCTGCCCACGAGCAGCACCATGCATGCGGCCTTGCCTTCCTCGCCTCCAAGTATCATCAATGCACCAAGGCATGGTAGTGGAGCGGCATTATTCCTGTCCATGAACTCCAGCCCCAACACCATGTCGTGGTCGTCCATCTCCGCAACCTGGAAGTTGGCCTTGCCCTTCCATCCTTGCACGCATAGCTCCACCTCCTTGCACACTCTACTCACGCGTGCCTCATCGAAGTTAACGGCTTTGATCCAGCCCTCCGTCTTGCGTATCTCCAAGCCAAGTCGGTGCGCCTCCTCCGGGGTAATGAAGTTGTGTGTGGCGCCCGTGTCCACCAAGGCTTGCATGACTTTGCCACCAACCTGCACATCGACATAGCGTACCCTGATGAGCACTGAAAAGTGCGCATTTAAACCCGTTAAGCTTAAGCAGTCTAGTACCTTTATCTATCTTACTTTGCCGTTTTAGACTTATTACGTGTTATTTATATTTTTAGGCACTAATCACAAAATTAAGCTAACTCAGCCAAATAAGAGCTTAATTGAAGCAATCCTGAGATAAACCAAAGGAGGGAGCAAAGTGGAGAAAGAAAGGAGCAAAAAGGAATCAAGTTGTGCAGCTGAAAAGTTCGATCGATCCAACTTAGAGTTCGATCGATCGAACATCTATGATCGATCACAGTACTTCTCGATA